AAGTGAAATTCTATATTTTGGAAATTTTGCATGAAATCTGTCAACCACGTTCTGTCATGGTCGAGGTTGCTTCACCTATCACGATGTATTCCAACCATCATAAAGCTATCTAAATGAGCATTTGTCATAACAGAACGCAAATTATTTTGTTGTGATATGATGATGAAAAGTTAACACAAACAATATTGTGGCGCCACCACTGATAATAATAAATATTATATTATTAATATTATTGATATTATTACTCAATTAACATCACGAAATTCACATATTATGATATATGTTTGTTTCAAGTGGACACGATTCTATGATTCTGTACAAATGTATCTTGAAACTGCTGAATTTCTACTAAAGCCCTGTGCGAGCGAAGTACAATAAACGCCGGGAACCAGGGAAAACCATTGGCAAAAATCGTAATAAAAGTAGGAAATTACAAGACACACGATAATATTGTACTAAAAAGGTCATAAAATAATACTTTAATAGGAAATAAAGCATACATCCTATTATTTAATTAATTTATATTTGGTAAACTGTATACGTATATTTATGAATATAACTGAGATTTAATGACAGTACGTTGATCCAGTCAGTTGGTACTAGGCCTAGACGATCCGATCGACCAGCCACGAAGTGCGTCGCAACGACTTCGACGGAGCCTATAGCACGTGGATAAGTGTGTTGTGTTTGAATCGATTTCCATTTGGTATTTTTTTAGGTTAGCGAGACGAGATTCCTAGTGCAGATTTAATGGTATATGAATTGAGGCCTCTATATAACAAGCTGGCTTAGGTCTCTCTCTCTCTACGGTAGGCCTACTGAGGTATTGAAATATGAGTAGACCTAAGCCAGCATTAGCTGGCCACAGTAGAGTAGATAAGCCAGCTTGCTATAGTCTAGGCCAGCCTCGGCAAGGCGCGCGAGGAGAGACACCTATCACTAGGCCTACTAAGCTGTAGGCCTAGCTATTTCGTAATCATTGTATTCATAAAGGCTTGAGCATTTTATTTCATGTGGTTGGCTAGGACAGGTATAGACATATAATGACTCATTAGCTCCATACTACTCTAGTCCCAAAGCCTATAGCATTACCAAATCAACAGGGGGATCAGGCCTACAGATTGTCATGTCGAATGCCCGGCAGTTTGCCGACTCAAAACCATGAATACCATTTTGCTGAAGCACAATTTGCTGAAACCCAGTTTGCTAAAAGTCAATCAAAAGCATTGAAACATTAAAATCGGCATAAAATTAACGATGGAGCATTTAATTCTCTTACCGTGACTGTGTACGAAACTGGTGGGGCCAGCGGAAAGTAGGGACCCGCTAGATTGAGACATGAGACTTTAGAGGCCATCCAATGTGAAGCAGTCACTGTATTCATATAATAAATAGCTGCTCATCGTAGTTTAATGATTATTTTTGTCTTACAGTATTCTGTAAATCAATCTTGATTATAAACAATTGAATTACCAAAAAAAAAAAATTAAATAGGCCTGTGTCAGATAAAATGTCAAGCATATTTATAATAAGTATATCAAAGAAGTTAAATAAGATAATAATATGTAGACCCTTAAAGGAAATGGGCGTTTATTGTCGAGAAGGGTTTTGATGGGGAGTTTATTCAAGGGAGGCATTAATTTTTGTGTATGTGTAAAATTGATATACATGTATGTACGGAATGCTTAAACACCCGTTATTCCACTGTAAATGTGAAATTACAACACAATAATTACTGTCAAAATGTTTCATGGTCATAAAAACGTATTGATCCCAACCAGCTTTAAAAAAATGTAATTCTACTGTCCATTAGAACATATATAGAATGTGTTGGGAATGACTTTGTTTCGATAGATGTGTTTGGGGGAGTTTATTCGAAGAAAAATAAACGCCTTGCGACGTTTTCGAAAGAAGGGGAATTTGTCGGAGGGGGTGCATTCAAAGTGGGGCAATTACACAGGTACGTAAATATGGGCGTAAATATGGCTCCAGCTCCCTGATATACACGTCATGTTTTCGAAAACACAATACAGTACTGTACATTTGTACGATGGTGACAGCAAGATTCGGCAAACTGAGTGTCGGCAAACTGGGTTGTCATGATTTCGGTGAACTGGATTCAGCAAACTGGGTTTCTCAAAGTGGCTATTAATTCGGCAATCTGGATTTCGGCAAACTGGATTTCGACAAACTGGTCGGATACTGTAAAGTTAAAGATCATACCTCAAAAACCAGTTCAAATGTCAAAGCCTAATTTCGGCAAAATCTGTGCGGAAGTAGGCCCTCTTTTTTCTGAAATGCAATGACAGATTTCTATGCCAAATTTTTGCGTGGATGATATACTGTAATCCCTGTGTAGGCCTTATATTACAGTGTGTGGTGCAGATGCTAATTATAGGTAAGGTAGCAAAATCTGCCGAGACTAAGTAAGGCGTCTGCACAAGGACTATATCCTCCGCACAAAAAACATTGCTGACTTGATGATGGTTAAGGGGCTTGACAATAATATTTGTGGATGCTATACTGTGAATAAAATGGTGATAATGTATGTCATAAATTTTACTCGAGCATATTTTTTTTGCTTTGAGCATTTCCAGGGGTTGGGCGCTGATCCCCATTGTTACGAGCCTGAGGTATACGCACTCAATGCATTTTTTTATACTACTAGACTTATTAATAGGCTGAGAAGGTGCGACTGAAAGGCGAGATGAAGCCAAAAATGAAGAAATCAAAAAGGTAGAACATTTTTCTTGGTTCCAAGTTCAAAAAGGTGAAGTACTGTACATTAGTTACTGTAGGCCTACACATTTCATTAAGGCGGTTTTCCACTAGCGAATTAAAATGAAAAATTTTGATCACTTCATTAATACTTTCCGCTACATTAGCATATATCACAAATGACATAACGTACAGTATTTTCATCTATTTTCGATACTCATGGGGCAACAAAATCTTTTCCCAAGCTCTCTGAATGGTTGCATAATTTTTCACTTCAAAAAAAGTAGAAACATTTTGCACTCTAAAAAGCAAAAACGGCAGGTGAAGGGATTGCGCATGCATGCTGTCAGATGCTTTTCCTTTGCATTAATAAATTCGCTGAGTGGAAAACCAGCTTAAGAACATGGAAAAGTTCAATCCAACGTATATTACTAATACAGTACTGTGGTAAAAAATATATGTTTTCCATCATTGCCAACGAATTGTAAAAAATAGTGGGCCTTTATATGCCTATTAAATATATAACTATATTAGACTAGATTGATTTTACTGATTGTAGAAAGACGCCTATAACAGATGAAACCAGGCGCATACTTGAATCCTACTGGGAGCGTGGGCTAACCGGGTACAGTGTTGCGGACATAGAAAAGAGAAAACTTTTGCAAGAGGCTATAAATGAAACTGGAATGGAAGAACCTAGGATAAAGGTAGGACATTACACACTCAACTGTTCTCACCAAATGTAGTACTTCATTTTAATATTTAATAATTAATAATGATGAATAATAATGATGACGGCAACAGCTACAACAGTAGTAATGACATTGCATGCCAACATGGCCCCTACAGTATGGGGTTCATATTATTATCCTCTGTTCACTGGATCATGCTCGTAAGTTGCAGCTTACCCTGTAACCACTTATGTTCCTGGGTAAAGTAGAGAGACACAACCGTAAGTAAAATGCCTAGCCTGAAGACACAAGTGAAAATTTGTGCGCGGCATAAGTTTGAACCCCGACCTCAAGATTTGGGTCTTCAACGGTGGATTATGTACACCAAATTTACCTTTAAGTCATTAAATTTGATATCAAATTACCAATTCTTTTACATCCAATGACTGCACCGCACTAAGGTAATGCATGTTAATCTACACACACCTTTGAGTACAAAGTCTAGTTTAGTTTGAAGGTGGGTGGGCTCGTACGTGAACATTAAAAATTAGTTTTTTGTGGAAAATGGGGAACATACTGTAAGAAACGTGATGGAACTTGTATGCTTGATTTTGCATTTTCCTATTCACATGTTGCCAACTTTGGTTAAGTCATGTGTAGAAAGATCCACTTCAAATTGTAATTTCAGGACTGGATTGGCAATTATCGGCGCAAAAAGTTGGGAAGAAAATATCAAACAAAGCCGTCAAAGAAATTTTTAAAGAGAAAATTGACAGGATACAATGTGTTCTGTTCAGAGTATATCAAAACAAGTATGTTTTTTTTTTAATTACACAATATGGTATTTTTTCTGACTGAAGTAGATAATTTTTAAGATAATAGAATATAGTAATGTTGAATATTTAACTCAAGCATTGTCTCTGAAGAAAAAAAGTTTTTGATGTGTTGTGCTAAAAAATATTCCAAGACACTGAAGGAGTTTTCGACCAAAAACTCTGGAACAGTTAATAAGACACAGAATTTCTGAATACTATAAAAAAAACTGGGAGAAATGTTAGTTCTTTTCCCACCCGCCAATCATAAAAAATAATTAAAGTAGGTTTATTATGATACTCCAATGTATTTTGATTCAACATACTTTCTCTTTAATAAATAGAAAATAGGACTTTATATTACATGGTACCATATTTATTTTTTATAAGAAATACAAGGGGGGTCAACCTACCAAGAGGCAGTTGCATCACTAGGAGGTAAATGGAAGGAGGCGAAAGAATCGGGGAATGTTGAGTCATATAATGCCAAGGCAGCTGAAGTTAGTAAACAACGTTCAGAAATAACTTACAACAATGATTCCTGTATATTCACAACAAAAATGAAGGAGATTATGAAAAGGGTAAATATATTATATAAAGTATATTATAATACACCTAAATAGATTTTGATTGTTGGATTCCGTATCATGTGACATTGATTTTTAACACTATCTCGTCACTCATTATAAAAATGTATATCCATTCGTGCATTTTTTGTTTCATACGCTTTCGTCCCATTGCACGCCTTCACCTAATACAATGTTGTCATTGGTTGAAAGAAGATTGACTGTTCCATTCTGAAGAAAGGTAGTTGATTACCAATTTGTTGTAAGTTGTTTGTGTTAAAACTTGTACTGATTGGAAGAAAGATAGACTTAAATTTATTTTTAGGTATATTTTATATACATGTGTTATAAAACAAATAATTAATTTTTTGTTCCACCTGGTTAATGGAACATTCAACCTTTCAACCCATCAAAATATTGAATAAACACCTCCACCCCCCCCCAAAAAAAAAAAATCCTCATTTGGAATAAATGCTTCCATCGAATAAATGGACCACAGCATATATTTTTGATTTTTGCTTTAAATAAACACCCCCTCCCCTCAAATGACTGTAATTTAGTGAAAGCAACATCATTCTCAACACATTCTAATAATCGAATGCAAAAAAATGGAAGTAATCATCACCAATAAAAACCATCCACTTAATAAATATGTTGTGTTCAATAGGAGTGGAAGAATCCATTTTCCTGTGATCAAAACCAACCAACTGCGTAACTCTTTTCTTCCAGCGGCCATGAGGCTACATAATGTAAACTTTGTCAGGTGAATATTTCTCATACCAGAGTTATGGATGATATGAATGAATGAACCTATGCATGAATGAATTTGAATGAATAATTTTGTTATTCTTTGTTCATTTTTAACTTTTTGGTCTTTTAAAGTTGTTTTTAATTTTTTCACAGCTTGTACTCTTTGTATTTGTTACTGTATGCAAATTTTGCTCTGTACATGTTCCATTTTACCATGTTTTTACCCATGTGTTTGTATGACCTGTGATGTGTATTTTTTACCCTTTTTCATTTTTGTATTCTGTAATCTGTGACAAGCAAAGCAAATTTCAAGCCATTTTATGAGTTTGACCGATAAATTGAATTGAATGTTTTACTCTCGAACGTATCCATTTTACACCCCAAACAAAATGAACATTTCCCTCGGAATAAATGCCTCCCTAAAGTAACTGTAACTGCCCTTTCAAAAACCCTTTTTAACGATAAACACCCCGAGGGGTTTTATGCAAATAGATACGGTATAAATTATATAGCATTAGTAGGCCTGTATGTTTATATTTACCAGAAATTTTATTATGTGCTAAAACGTTGGTGTTTGTAAATTTGGGTAAATAAAACAATCTACCTTTCGTCATAATGTGGCAGTGATTGGCACATTGGTTGCATTCGCTGTTTAGACACTGTGTCTGCGGTATACTCTACAAGGAGTTGAAAAAAACAGTTGCTCTATGGGCATGACATTTTACCAAACTATCCTACGTAAAAAAAAAATTGCGTTTTGGACTCCTACTGTATGCCCATACCCCTTATACATTTCAGAACTAGATTTACTTTAAGTAGTTTAAGTCAAATTTATTTAATGCTTGTGGTTCTTTGTTATAAAGTGCATTGAGGCTTTTTGCAGAATGCGATATGAAAGAATTGACTTGTTATTATTATTATTATTGAACTGAACCTACCTATATTGAATATATTATTTGTAGGTAAAAATACTGGAGTTGAATGGTTATGATATTGCAATATGCATTCAGAAGCCACTGGGTCAAATCAGAGGATTTGGCACAAAATCTGGGTTGGAGTTCCTCAAAACCAGCAACGTAATGAAGCAGTATGGAGAATTTATAAAAGGTAATATTACATTCAATCAGTATTTTATAACTGCTTTGTTATGTTAGGGCTTTGATGTGCGTTTGATACACATCTTTTAGTAAATTTTACTGCATTAAAGAGGACCCATTCAGCTGTCCGAAATAAAATGATTTTTTTTTTTTTCTGAGCAAATTCTAGTGGATAGGAAAATAACGTTGTATTAGTGTAGAATAATTTTTTTTTTAAAAATTTGTAAACAGTAAGTTTTTATTTTATTTATTTTCTTAGGTTATGATGATGAAGAGGAAGACGATGATGAAGAGGAAGACGATGATGAAGAGGAAGATGATAAAGTGAATAAGGACGATGAAGAGGAAGATGATAAAGTGAATAAGGACGATGAAGAGGAAGATGATAAAGTGAATAAGGACGATGAAGAGGATAAAGTGAATAAGGACAATGAAGAGGAAGATGATAAAGTGGAAGAGGACAATGAATTGGAGAATAAAGGTGAAGTATTTTTGTATTGTACTTATTAAATTTATCCCAATAAATCTAAAAAGTGTCTAATTAAAACTCAATTACATATTATGTATTTAATGTTATTTAACCTTGCTTCTTTAGCAAATGTTGATCAAGTGGAAGAGGATGATGAATCGTTGAATGAAAGTAAGTTGTCAGAAGTTAACCACATGTGTGAAGCTCAAATCAAATTCTATGTGACGAATTTGAGTTATGTGCTCATTTTTGGAACAATTTTTCTCACAACATTCGTAACAATTTTGATGCTCTTTCTATTAATATGTTTAAAAAAGAGGCCTTTATATGTATTTAGTAAGACTGTACCTTTTTTATTTTGGTTTGGTAGTTTTCATTTGTCTGCTTTCTTTTCAGTTTTAGGCTATCTTGTTGTTTTTTATTTACTTTTAGTTACTTTTGAATTTCATAATTGTAAAAATTGTTTTTTTTTTTATTTTATTTTTTTTTATTTTTGTGGATATATTCACTGTATGTAACAGGGCTTCCTTGAAAAGCAGTGCTAGTCACTGAATGGACCCCCTGGTTAAAGAAAGCTTAAATAAATAATAAAATATGGGTATGATGTCATATTACACCCAAATATGGGCATATCACATTTGTTTGTCTCAAAAAATGTGATAGCGTGGTCAAAGCTAGTGTACATAGACTGGCCAACTAGAAATGAAATCTGTACATTATTTTGGGGTTTTCTAATTTTTACTCAGAAATAATATGGTACGCCATTCCTGCAACAGCTTTTGTTCAGTTGAGCTAATCACCAGCCCATTGAAAATAATATGAACAATAGACAAAATTTGCGAGGTCCGTTTACAGACGGTCTCACAACATTTAGTGGGTGACTATGGAGAACTTACAGTGCGATCGGTGTGAAAGTATAGGAAAGGGTAATGTTATGTTTGCAAAAACAGTGACCGCCTGCCATTAAACATAAAAAATATCTGGCAAGGAAAGGCAGTACGATTGTCTAAAATAGTGTTTATTTACCTATTCAAGCGTTCTTTGGAATTTGTGATTCGTAAACCTTAGCTTGCCTAGAAGGATAGCGTGTCAAAATCGTAGTTCACGGATTGAAGACTCTTGTGCATGCCTAAATAGGCTGTAGACATGCGGGGCCTAGGTCTAGCATCTCTCGAAAAATCTTTTGGCGTGTTGGCAAACCATTAATTATCAATTATGTGCTTTACAGCAGAAACAATCTGTAAGCCACATGTTTTCCTGTTACCGAGAGTCACTCATTCCTTAGCAAGTCACTCGGGAAAGGGAGGTGGTTACACATTGTGCTATGCCTCTATAAAAGGAATTATGGCAATTCATAGACTTACCGGTAGCTTGGTTAGAAGTTTCTTGTGTGGTGGTTAGCAGGGCCACTTACCTTTCTCTGATGGCTAATCTCAATCTTAATAATGTATTAATTTCTTATTTTCAGACACAGATTTAGAACAATTATGCAGAAGTCTAGGTATGAAAGGTAATATAGTAATTTTCATTGGTTTATATTAAGGGTATGTGTAATGCAGGACTTTTTATTATATGTAATAAAGTTTATTGATATGGTTTTTACATGGTGTGAGCGAGTGAAAACCATCTTCTTATAGTGTGTAATTTAAAATGGATGTCGATGCATTTCTTATCGATTACTGGCCACTTTTCATTAAACTTTGCCCAACATACCCCATAGCATTGCTTGAGAACAGAATTTCTTCAGTTGTTGGCCTAGATAAAGAGATTTCAGCTGCTGCGAAACATTTTAAAAATGTGTACATAAAATAGATGTTAATATCTTGATGCACTTCTTAATTTATTACTGGCCACTTTCCTTTTCATCATCATCATCAACATTAGGCTATTTCACCCACTGCTGTGTGAAGCCCTCTTCTAATATTTTCCATCTTCTGTCTGATACTATTCTTGCCCAGTTTGCAGTTTCCATATACATTTAAACTTGCATAAGTCGACTTTGGCTAACATTAATAATTAGTAAGTCGATCTTACTTTACATGCCAAATTGTTGTGTTTTCACTTAATTAACCATCTGTAAGTCAAACTTTATCAAAGTTGAACTATAGGCAAGTTCAACTATGTGGTGATGTCATCTCTCCTTCTTTTTTTTTTGTCATCTTATTTTTCCAGTCCTTGGTTGCCAATTTGTTACTCTTTTAGCCCATCTGTTATCTTCTAATCTTGAAAGGTGTCCTGCCCATCTCCATTTTATTTTCTCTAAAATATCTTTGACTTCAGTAAAATTTTCTTATTTTGGTGTACTGAACTCTATCACTTAGCGAAATCTGTAACATTCTTCTCTCCATTGCTCGTTTGGTTATTAGTTTCTCTTCCATATCCTTCGTTGTTGACCATGTTTCTGCTCCATATGTGATTTTTGTTTGAATACACTGGTTGAAAACTTTTGTATGTTTCCATTTGTCAAAATATTTTTATGCATTTCACAGCATCTCCAACCTTCTTTCACTGATTCCAATTTCTTCCTCTGTGTTGTTATCCATATTCAATGTCTGTCCTAGGTACAGTATTTGTACTTATCCACTTTCTGTATTTGCTGATTTTCTATTGTGATATTTTCAGCTGTTTTAAAGTCTACATCTACATTTAAAATTCGCCCAACTATACACTTTGTTTTCTCGCTAAAATTACTCAATCACCTGAACATCCCTTGCATTCATTTCTTCCACCGCGACGATCTTCATCCATCACGTTATGCAATTCTCGACATTCTGCTTTCCTGCCCTTCTTTGCTCAAACTTCTCGCCATATTTCTCCTTTGACATTAGAACCTCTTTTTATGCAGGCTATATTATAAACACAAATTACCCTTTGTATACCATATTGTATTTTATTGTTGATTTTTGGTGGATAATGGCCCCTGATGGCTGAAGAAGCAATAAGAATAAAATTGAATTGGATAACATTGCTTGTAAGTTGAATTCATTCCGAGCTAAAGAGATTTCATCCTGCGAAAACTTTTTTTTTTTAGGCAATAATAATAATAATAATTTATTATTATGATGTTACTAAAACCTACCTTAAGGGTAACTTAGAGAACAATTAAAAAAACGATGTTAAGGGGAAAATAATACAAAAGTATATTATTATTATTATATTTAATCATTCCCTTCCCTGCAGGGAATAACTGGCAAACATTAAATTCATTATCACTATGTTATTTAATCATAAATAATTTGTTTAACTTCACAGTGGAATGACGAGGAGAGACGAAGGAAAAAGTTGCATTTAAAGTTGGTGATTGTGGACAGACAGCATCTTTATGTCCAAATACTGTATTTCTAAAACTAAATAGGATGAAATAGGCCTATGCAAGGTTTTACTGAAGTTTTAGTAATACGGCAGTGGCGGATTCAAGGGGCCCCTAGTCGGCCCGGCCGCACCACCTAAATTTTTCAATATAAAAAAAATGGAGAAATCAATAAAATTATAATCAAATTAAGTCCAAGAGTACCATTTCCGGCCCCCTAGAGGTGCTATAATCACATTTTTTTAAATCTGTGTGTGTGGGGGGGAGATTGATCAAACATTAGAACACATCCCTCCAGGTTATTTGACTTATACTAATCAAGAAAATGTATTACCATGTAAGAGGCAGGCAAAATGTAATTTACATTACAGTTAAAGCAGTAAAGTATTTTTTTTTTAGATTGTATACTGTACGGTAATAGAAAACGTAGGCTTATTAAAACTGTATATATTGTGATATATTGTATAATAAAGTATATTGTTGATACATTTTATTTTCAGACTTTTTATATTGTGATTTACGTAAGGAAGTGCCAGTGACTCAAGCACTAAACATGTTACTGTGATTGCAGTTTTTTTCTTGCTAGTCAGTGATGGCACCATGCTGTCGAGGTGGGCTTAAATTTCCAGTCAGACAAAACATCCATCAAATTAGTTCTTTTTATTGGCCATCCTGTCATAAAATCTGTAGATTTTGTTTTTTACCCGGGCCCTGACTGAGGTTCTAAATGGCCCCTTGGTTTGGGACCCCTCAATGTAACAATGTTTTGATCACTCACTTACTTTACTTGTTTAGTAGGTTCCCCTTCCCATAACTTCCTTGAACTAGCACCCTGACCCAAAAGAGCTTTGTTGATACATAACAGCATAATGCATCTCGGATACCTACTGTAGGACATATCATAATATATCCAGTGGCAGATTTAAGGAGTGGGTCCTGAAACTGTCAATTTTTTTTTAGTCTGAGTACCATTTCCCGCCATCTAGAGTTTCCATAATCAAATTTTCATTTCCTCAGCCCCAACCATGGTGGGGCTGAGGTGACAGGCCTTCTATCTATGAAGTTCTCCCCCGCTGGGCCCCTCTATTTCATTCTAATTCTTGGATTCCAAAAGGGGGCCCCGGTCACATAAACCCGAGTTCCATCGTTACGACACTGTTCATAGAGATTCCATGTCGACCTGAGCTTACCTTAATACATATGGGCTCTCAGGAGAGTTGTAGATTAGCGAATACTTTAATGAAATTCATAGGCCCCTAACAGTTTTTTCACTACTGTTCAATAATATTAAAATACGCCAACAAAACATTTCAAAGTACGTTTATTGAGAATCGCATTCACTACCCTAGTCTCTTCGTACATTATTATACCAACCTTATACAAGATACCTTATAATATAAACAATATTTCCTTATATGATCAAACAACATGGTGCAGCTGCAATTGGTAGAAATTGTAGAATGATATATGCTTTTCAGAGAAACTTAAGCTCAAAACAAAACAGCAATAACAATCTGGAACATAAAGTTTGTAAATGTAAAATGACTAAAAAATTAACTCAATTAAAGTTTCCTACATTACAGACAGTATCACTGACTAACTATTCTATACAATTGTGAAACTTTCTAAAATTAATTAAAAAAAAACACTTAAAACTACTTAAAAGAAAATTGTGGTGCTCTACATTAATTGAGGCACAGCTTTGGTACATTAAGAAAGTTAAATAATAAATATACAGGATAGCAAGGTGCCAACCACACAAATAAAGTTCTCTGGATATTTAAGTATACTTTATGATTACCTATGCCACTAGTCATATGATCACGATTATTATATAAATTGATCATAAGTGCCATATCTATCAGTCGTGGGGACATGAAGGTGGAGTGGCTCAATGGGGCGCTAGGTTGAATAAGTTGGGACATTTGCTTCGGACATTTTCAATGGGGAGCGCAAGCTATAGCGCCACTGCATTAATTGAACCGTATTATTTAAATTGATTTTCGTTTTACTAAACAAATTTTGTGACAATTATCTATTAGTTATGAAATATAATATGCTATGACATTCAAAAATACTTTTTAAGGACCTAAATTTTCATTTTTATATACATACATTGGATTAATTAAATTCAAAATATAGAGCTTGACATGTTACTCTTTTTTTTATTTCATAAAAATGTTATGTTAACCTATTTATTATAGACATTTTATCAAAAACCCTTTGGAGCATGACCGAAGAAGGGCGAGTAATGTATTATGTTGTGGTCTGGCATTTTCATTTTTGATAAAATTTTGTTTGACAAAAACCTGGTGTATGCCGATATTATACTGTAGTCATGATGTGGCTATATATGGTCATGATGTGATGTCATCATAACCATATTTAGGCGTATCATGTTTCTGTCAACTAATCTTAACATTAGACAGAGCCCGAGGTTTAGTAGGAGTCAAAATGTAGGGAAATATATTATTTGTGTTTGAGTCGATCGAACTTAACTAACCAATCGGAACTGGGTCAGGAACACAGGCGTGGCATTACAAGTACACATGTTGTCGTGCAAACGTATGTGTGTGCATATGCTTTTACAATGTCCATTCGTGGGACCTTAGCAACAATATCCAAGGGCGTGGCTTAGCAGAAAGGAACATTGTGAGGTAGATAAGCATTCACCCGAGTCCAGGCTTGTGTTACTTTGGAAGAAATCTGTTCTTTCGGTTTAATTATATATTTTAATTAAAATATAAATTCATTGTAACTGATGATTCGTTTACATTGCTTTTTTGTGGAAAGTAACATTTTATGAACCTTCAAATTATTAATTATTTATTAAATATTATAGTGAAAGTATAGCTGTTATGGAATGCATAAAGAATGTATACCTATTATTACCATGTATTAATCAGTACACTATATACATTTGGCTACCATACACTTTTTTATAAACTAATACATGATCCATTCATTATTCATAATTTATCTTAATTTTCTAAAAATATATATTAAACACACACATTTGTGTATTTTCGTGCATTATCTATTATATCTCATCAACTTTTGGACATTTGCTTCGGACATTTTCCACAGGGAGCGCAAGATATAGCGCCACTGCATTGGACTGTATTATTTAAATTGATTTTTGTTTTACTAAATAAATTTTGTGATAATTATCTATTAGTTATGTAATATAATATAATAATTTATCTTAATTTTCTAAAAATATGTATTAAGACTATTATATTAAACACTCAAATTTGTGTATTTTCGTGCATTATTTATTATATGTTATCAACTTAACCAAAAAAAAGTTGAAATTCAATTACTTAGAGTTATATTTTTTACATTTTTTAACGAAAATAATTTCGGTTCTTCAGTTACAAAAGGTTGTATATTTGACAATTGATTTTTCCAAATAGTGGAAATAGTTTAAAGGCTATTTAGGCTAAAGCTCGGAAATAAATTAAAAAATATTACATGATACAGTACATTCATTTGCAAAAAATATTCACCAAAAAACAGGTTAATTCTATACGTTTTATACCTTTCTTAAAGAGAGGTGCACTTTTATGCTGTGAAACACACATGTTAATCCTTTTATACTGAGTGCCACAAACAAATTATAATACAAACATAGTATACATAGTAAACATATATAGTTTATAAACTATAACACATTTATGTTCAGACGCCAATAACAAAAATTTACTTTCGCTGCCAAATGGTTACATTCTTAGCTACAGGATCTTTGCCATCACAGTCTGCCATCATAATTGTTGAATCAACACATTGCAGCCTGAAATTCAATTAATAAACAAGCAAGTAAAATTTGGCATTATTCCATTCAACTCGCATTATACACATTATGCTACTTTACGTTCTATCGCTAAAATTACTTGATCGTCTGACTATCCCTTAAGCTTGATTTCCATACAATAGCTACACGCCGTCTCAAACAGCTTGCTGTGATGATAATAAGCCTTCCCGATAGACAGTAGTAATCGCACACTGTAGCGACAGTGGAGTGATTTTAAGGAAACCAATTTAAAAACATTAATTTCTTCATCTTGATGTTCGATCTTCTTCCACTTTACGTAGTTCACTCCCCCTGCCCCCAAGATGAAACAGGCCAAGCCCCTGTATTACACTATTGAAAAAAATGCTTAGTATTAACTTACTTCTTTCCGATAACTTTGTAGAGTCTTTCTTCATTCCACTCAGTTGGTGATGTAATAATAATCAGTCCACACGGTACAATTATCTCCCAAAGCCTCAGGAGCCAAGCTGGAAAATTCCAAGGTGCCACGTTTTAATATACAAGAAACTTTACAAATGACTTCAAGCAATTGAGGGGAAAAAAAAAACTTTAACAGGACGAAGGAATGGACAAGGATCAAGCATCAGATTTCATCTTGTTTTTCTCTTGTTTAAATACAGTACGGAGACACATCTGCTAAACATACAAGTTAATGATAGTGAATATGGAATCGGGAGCATACAAATCTGTAGAAATTGAAAATTGTAATGAATACTGTGTTAGCTTGCCATCTTTTAACTTTGAAAACATGCTATACAAGCTTGATATTCTGTCGAATTCTGGTCTTCCTATTTCTAAACAGATTAAAGTATTACTTTAATTTAACAGTTGAGAACAATAGATGGATATGGAGCTATAATACTGAATACGTTTAAAGCCAGTTTTCCACCAGGCAAATATACTTGCGCGAATCAAAAGTGTTTGTGACGCATGAATAAATTCGCCTTATTGAAAACCACATTAAGTATAAGACTTTGCAAAATCTATAGCGCTGCGACTCCAGTAATACCTGCAGTTGGAAAGTGACTAAAAAATTTGTGTTTATGAGACCTTGCTCTGTTTTTTTGGACCACATCTATATTTCTTTTTTTGGGCAAATTTCAGAAGAAAACAAAATAGAGGTAGTCTTCCCCCATCTCAAGAAATGAGAAACATGGTGTCTATTTGTTCTTATAGCTCCAGTCATTGCCACCTTATTCTCAACAAAAATAAAAATCAAAGGAAATAAAAATCTATTTGGTAAACTATCAACAAAATTTAATCTGCTTCAAAGCTAGGGTTTTGTGGTATTCCCTACAGTAAGCAAAAAATTAGTAATTTAGTCAGTGATTTATTTTTTTGATGATACAAAAAATTCCCATAAAATTTTGTTAACAGATAAGGTAATGTATCCATTTGTAACATCATTAGAGATACCATAATGGAAAGCAAAGAATTTTTTTTTTTCATTTATTATCCATGCACTAAATTGTATTTTTCATATAGGGACTGCCTTGTTAATTATTAAGAGCATGCACATTTTTAGCCAATTAAATTATAATATAATAAAGGTGCATTAAACACAAGATACATACCTCTTTGGTCAGTTCCCAGTGTAAATTTCTTATTTTAAGCAATCGATCTCTTATTTAGAACATTTAATATAACTTGCATTGACAATGATATTCATTAATTTCAATTTCTATTTCCAGATTTGTAGATATTTTTGACTCCATTAAAATAATTAAAGGAGGAATGACAGCGGCATATCTATGAGTATTGGCCAAGAAAGGGAGGGTGTAACAATAAAGTGAGCGTGCACTGCATTCAGAACGAGGCGTATACTTTTGACTATTGAAAGCCCACCCAGAAAGCCTCGTACGACACAGCCCGGGATGATTTATTGCCAGGGTCTTTAGGTTATTTTGAGAATAATAAACAGTCAGTGTTTAATATTCTACAATGTTAGTATCTTAGATACACCACTGGGAAAATAGAGATTTTCACAAAACATCCACAAACATTGTAACAGTTTAGAAGAGATGTAGTGGGTCATGTACTGGGGAAAGAAGGCTGGTAACGTGCATTCTTCCTCACACACTTCAAAATAATAGATTTCTCATCATTCCTGATGATGACATAATTAATGTCGAAATATTGAATCCCAAAACGATGGCGTGTATTTCAATACTTGGAGTATGTATCATACTTTCTTAGATTTCTCGCTATTTATAAACAAATATGAATTTGCAGTCAAAGATGTTGATTGTAAGTTAGGACATTTTAGTTTTGTTGAAATAATTAATTCTTTGCCACATGGTAGAAAATGTAAATTTGATTTCTGATTTAATGTATAAATTAATGTAAAAATAAAAATTAGTATAAATATGTTTAACTATTTTATATATGCTAATACTTTTTGAGTTTTGTGATATATGATGCTTTATAAATATATTTTACATATTATGAAGTTAAACGTATGGTAATAATTCAATTATATTTATTATATTATTTGTATTAAAATACTACCATTGTATATAATAATACATTTTTTTTTCAATATCAACATTTCAGTATGCTTTTCATATTTCTTTCAGGTACAGTGAGTTCAAAGGAAATATTTACATCCAAAAATCATTGCATATGATTCTGGTGTAATTTATTTAAACAATGCATTCATAAATTATTTCAACTAACTTTTAGACATATTGCAATTTTGGACTTGCAGGGATGAAAAGTTCAGCAACTTCGTCCCCAGGTTGAAAATAGTTTATATCACTCTTGTTTGACCACCACCAGACAGATTCACTCTAAGGACAAAGGCATTTAGCCAATCTTATATAAATTCTCTTGCATCCATATGAATGCATGCCAAAATTTAGTCAATAACAATGATGTTGATCGATTAGATGGCTTCATATTGTTCAGTGATAAAAACCATTTTCATTTTAGGGATTAATATGGTTAAGGCACCCACAACTTGCAGAGATGTATCTAAGGTAGTAGGTTTCATAGACGAACAACTAAGTCTGTGAAGAGAAATTAGAAACCAAAAAACTGAATCAATGTGAGAAAACTTGAGAAATGTCCCCTAATAAATTGCTTCAATGTGACAAAGAGAAAATGTGACATAAGTAATGTGACAATAATAAAATGTGACTGGCTTTGGCAAAACCAGCCGTTTGTAGGAAAAATTAAAAATTGAGTTATTGGTATATTTAGATTCTGTATGAAGTCTTCTTTAAAACAGTGCTTATTTGATGTCATGAATCCACTAGATATCAGGCATGTAGGTTCTGAGAAAACTTCCTAAGACTCCAAAGTCAATAGTTATTATTAAGATTTGTATTTTTATAACAATTTTTAATATAATTTTCAGTTAGATTTAGTGATTGATATTTTGCAGAAATCTTCTCCAATATATCTTCTTTAATAAAATAATGCAAAAACATGAAAAAGCTCAATACTCGAAATTCTGATTTTCGATGTTTTGGGTGCTTGTGGGAAATTAGAAATTACAGACAAACTGTGGGTTTTGCCAGAGCCAGTCACAAATAATAAAAACATAATCCAAGTGCTCTGAATTAAAAGACACACATTCCTGTGTTCAGTTAATGTACAATGACATTAAGTGCTTATTTTTATACTTTTAAGAAGATTTCAATTGAAAATCAGAACAAAAACAATTTTATTTTGCATCAATAAGAACATATATATGATAATGTTCCTATATTCAGTGGCAGATCCAAGCCTCTGAATAATACCTCTGGATAATAGATTTAGATGGCCAGAAATAGCACTCTCCGAATTAAATTTGAATACAATTTCCTTTTTTCTCCATTATTTTTTTATTTGAGAATATTTAGAGGAAGGGGAGGATTGATGGGGGTCCCTTCTTTGAATTTGTCACTGATATTCTTTGTAGTGTTATTGAAAAACCGAAAGGTCCACTCATTAATCTCAGATAAGATATATATATAATACATACACTCCAAGTATCGAAATGCACGCCATCGTGTCTGGATTCAATATTTCGACATTTTGTCAGGAACAGGACATAATTAATGTTGAAATATTAAATCCCAACACGATGGCGTACATGTTGATACTTGGAGTAAGTATTATACTATCTTATTCTTTGTAGTAGTCTGAGGGCTCAATTGAATGTTTTGAGTAGCTTCCCATCTTATCACAGAATGAACATCTTTTAATTCAGTGGCTAATCTGTCTATCACAATGAATTTTTATCATTAATAATCATAATAATCAGTAATAATTTAGATCTATAACTACAGTGACACCATTAATTAATTTATACCATAATAATACAAAAATTAATATGTTAAGTAACAGTGGCATATTTTGTGATGAAAAATAGATTGTTACTTGGGCCTTTTGAAGGAACTGCTGAATTCACTCAACAGTTAGTCACAACAGTCCGATCCTATGATAAACACCATGGTGCTTCCACTAACAGGTGCCATCAAGAATTCAACTGACAATATTCCACCTGTTGCAGTTTTGATTATCCTGTTTCATAATTTTTTATATCTCTATCACACTCAACTCTAAAAAATGTTCACCTTTTGAGAACTTCTAGCAAACAACTAGGTATTTTCTCTAAACATGTTGTGGTAGTAGTTATGTCCCCACAATCGATTCAAGGACAAATTATTTATGGACATTTAGTCTATATGTACGATTCAGTCCTAACTTTTTTGTGATGAACATGTACTTCAATGTATGCAGGTTGACAGTTTTATGGCTGTCAGCCGACAAATCTTACACCACTCCCCGTTGAGCCACGGTCTGCTGATTGTCGGTGGCAGTCGTGAACAGATTGTCATTAAAAACAATCATTTGCATGACGTGCATCCTGGCGTTGCATTCTCTATGGAATCGCTTCGGCCAAAACCCATCATGCGCTGTATGTGCCCAGCTTAAACCATATCTATTACTGTAGCAATCAAACAGTTCATAAACAGTGTTTTTATAATCTTTTTGTAATTTACTGAAAAACATTACATTTGTGTATTTGGTAACCATTCCTGTTAATACCTTTTACATACTTCAACTACACAAAATTAGTAAACTAAATACCTGATTTACCCAATTAGGATATTATCAACTAAAGTATTCCTGTTCTTAAAAAACCTGTTTCATACCTTTAGAAACATGTTGATACCTGTTGGTACAGTTGAATTCCAGTTGATGCCTGTTAAAAACTAGTTATACTAACTATACACGATTGTTATTGCCAGTCCACCATTTTACATTCAAATCCAGTTGGAAAAACAACTGGTTGAATTTTCTCCTACTGTATGTTCACAAACATGTACAGATACTAAGCCAGTTAGTTGTACATCACTATTACTGAATACTTAAGAAATTAAACTATTCAAAGTAATTTTACCTTGGCAGACATACCTCCAGTGTTGTAAGCATATTGTAATGTCCTTAGTAAGATACTTTCTGTATACTTTTCACTATTCTACTAAATTTAGTGATATACAAATAATAGAGTGCATACCCTGGTATGTACATGTATGCAATAACATTCCTGTTGGATCAAATTCACATCAAAGAGCAGAATTTTGCCAAAAAAGCTTCAATTTTAAATTTGCTTAGGCTTTTAGAAAAAAAAAAATTATTTTGCTTAAATTTGTAAGGACCAACAAACATAATCAACACTGCAGGATTCTTATAAGCTATGAATGGAATACTTAGCGCATGAGATTTGCGACTGAAGTTCTTAAATGTAGAAATCAAGTTACCTTCTATGTTCATGACTCGGTCTAAGAAATCAAGAACGACGAGATTGAAATCCATCAGCTCATTTGGAATCCATGTTAACTGTAAACAAAATGAAGAAATGAAATAAAATGAAGGGGATGCACAGAAGGGGAAAGCGCACACAGTCCTCTTAAAAAGCTTCTTCCGCCACTGGAAAAGTTTGAAGCAAATCACCCGATATTACTCATAAAATGGTCCAGATGAAAGGGTTTAGGGTGTGTCACTACCAATCGTGGGGGCCAGGTACCTATTCCCCATGGAGTAACTGGCTACAACATTGGCTGCTAACACTCGTGAAATTTTGTTATAAGTAGGTACATATGGTTCCACAGAATAACGTTTTTATTACCAATTGCACGAGTGGGGGTGCCCTCTGCACTTATACCAACCCATGAAAAAGCTGACAAGAAAACTCGCACTTGGCAGAAACAATAAAAAATGCTGTCCCAGTGCCGGCGACGAGTTTACTCGTCCCCTAATATTTTCCCACCGATTTATTTGACACAACATTTTGATATGGCATGACTACATAGGTATGTTTGTGTGTATAATTGTTCTGGCACACGAGAAGGAACCTGAAAAAACAGGTCTGGCAGTCAACAAGTTAACCATTTAAAAAAGCTATAATTTCCCTTTGTTATTTTTTTTCGGCTGCTGCCAGGAGGAGCACCCCCTTTCCAACCCCATGGATCTGCCATTGGTACCCAATGGAGTGATTGTGCCACAGATTATTTGGTAATTCTGAACCGTGAACCACCTTTTGGTGCCATCATACCATGCCAATGTTTTGCAGTAGAAACATGCATATATGAGCTAAGGTTTCGAATAATGTACATCACATTTTCGCCAAGAGTATATTGATATTGATAGACACTGGATTGCATAACCACTGGCTGAGATTCCCTCCCTGGGCCCAATCTATTTAAAATTCCTGGATCCGACACTGATAAGCCTTTGATTGGTGAAATATAGTTTCAGTTGATTGACAGTTTGGGAAGGCTCATACCTGCTTAAATACAACTCTGCTTCTGTCAATTTTATGAGGAACAATCGCCTTCCTTTTGCTCCAGGAATCATTAATTCGTAACTTCTTAGTGCTGCTAACGCCCTTTGGTCTGTATTCTGGATAATCTAATGTGCCTGTGTTTTGTAACGCAATCGCTGCCTCAAGAAACCGACTACTGTAATCAACACCAATCACCTTGATTTGGATGATAAAAAAATAAATGATTAATAAGGTCAATTAAACAATTGAACATAAAAAACTTCTTGTGAAGTGCGTAAACTTTGGTATAGACAAAAGCATCCATTATTGATATAATCAGTCACGCAATAACTGAATAATACTTGTTTAAAGTCAGGCTCTCGAGTAAAAATTTTTTTTTTTATATGTAGGACAGCTAATTTTTCTAAGACACTCAATGACATGTTTTGCTTTTTAATCTTGCATTCTTATTGAATCAAAGCAATAAAAAATAGGAAATTACAAGGAAAATTATTTACAAAGTAAAACCACTTAAAAAAGAAAAGGAAAACATCAGTAAAAAGAAATCAGACAATTCACAAAACATAAACGAAAAAAAAAAAAAAGAAGTTTTACACAAAAAAAAAAATTGTCACATCAGACAAGGAACCACATCAAAAGCAGAAATAATAATAAAAAAAAAATTGATAAGGTCAAAAAGGAGGATTGGATGACCCCTTAAACCAGAAGTTTGTTTCCAAAGGGGGTCCAGAAAAAAATATATACAATTTTAAGATACATTTAAACAAAACATAAAAACAACAAGCCTAAAAATCAAGATTATAAACACAAGTAAAATATTAAACAGTACAAAAAAGTATCAAAAAGGGAGGAAAGAAAATAAACCACAAAATAAAAATAAAAAACATGGCACGATAAAGACAAAAAGGTAAAATAGCAAATTACCTTATTTAGCACAAATATAATTTTTGAAATTGACTATGGTTATATAAGTTGCATTTATTTATAAAGTTTTCTAATTTATCCAATTTACCACCAATCTACAACTTAGCAATTGAATATCTTCACAGAATTCACAGAAAAAAAAAAGAAAAGGAAGTTACCTTGGAAAATGTTTGAGCCAGATGGAATGCCAGCCTTCCAGTTGCACATCCAAGGACAAGTGTGGATTGGAATTGATCGATGTAATTTTTCACCGCCCCATCGATGAACTCAGCCAGATTATCGTAGTAATTGTTGACACTGATGCCGTATTGTTTATAGAGCATTTCATCGGGGTTGTCATTCAAATACTCTTTATTTGTACTTGGGAAGAACATACTCTTATGGACAACAGGCAACAAAGATGGGTTTTCTGAAAAATGATAATTATCCTAATAGAATATAATCTATTTGATAATAATACAACAAACGTTTAAAATAATATATTTTAACACTTACAGCCGTATTATATATTCAAACTTCGAACTAGAACTTCTATCTATTATAGTTGCAACTTAAACTTGGATTTGTATTCGCAAACAAAGTAGTCAACGTTCAAACTATGTCTAAATCTTAAGTCCTAGTTGTAGTTCAGCTGAAGACAACTGGCAAGCAACGACTAACAAAACTTTCAAACAAATTGTATGTTATCTGTTGTACTGGATATAGTCTGATCAATGTTACCAGATCTGTAATATTTTGTCTGCTATTAAAATTAGCTCTTTTCATTGGCTAGGTATATGTTTAAAAAAATCATGACGAAAAGTTTGATCTAACATTTTATGCCTGACAGATAAGACTCAACACCACAGTGCATATATAAACCAGTTAAACAATTTTGAAAAATAATAAATAGGTGACAAAAGAAAAGGAGTACAAGAAAATTAATTTACTTGACCTAACTCTATACTTGTGGTTCGAGGCCAGAGTAGGTGATCTTTATCTCTTAAAATCCTAGTAATTATATTCAATCTAAAAATGCATCCACCTAATCCATATTAATTCGTGCTATACAATGAGAGAACACTTGCCTTTGTGACCAAAGGACAGAATGTGTACTTCAGAGTCAATCAGGTGGATTGGTGGAATATCGGAGGGATCAATATTGCAAGCCAGTCGGAATCCCAAATGTTGGAAGAAGTGACGCCGGAAGGCAAAGCGGCCAAATCTGGATGCTTGCTGTCCTGTTGAAGCCCACGAGCCTCCCTGAAATAATATAATATTATAAGAACGTTATATTAACATTACAATTTTGGAGCAAACGTTATTTTGTAGAAACATAATTTTACTTGACTAATATTTTCATACTGAATTAGCCACATTGCTTAATATCAAACCCTGTTAAGTACATACCTACATGTATAACCTAATTTTACAACCTCATAACGTATTAACGTTCCTACGACGTTGTGGGAACATTAATTTGTGACATCCCAAACCAAAACGTCCACGAATGTTATAAAAATATTTTGCATTTTCTGGGACAAACCCTGGTCCTCTGCAGATGCCAGCAACAGAATTTACATTAAATAAACATGATAGAAGAAATTTAAACTCAAGCATTATAGCTTACATGCCAAGGAGGGCGCTGTTACCTGCGAGACTCCACGTTTTTGTGTTTGGCTCTTGTTTTTTTGGTATTTTTGCTGTTTTTTCCAGTAATCTTGTGCTTTTATGTGATTTTTTTGTGCATCTTGGTGATTTAACTATAAATATTGCTTGTTTGCTTCTCTGTGCGTTTAGGACGAAGATTTGTTCGTGGTTTTTTATAATGTGTTACCGATATTCTGAACGGGAGCTGACCGCGCTACGATTCGTGAAGCAAGTTGTGCCTTTGGAGGTCATTGCATTCAATTACGAATTGAACTGTGCTTGGCCTAGACCTAGTCGGCCATTTTGTAAAAGGAAACATCGTAGGAGAAGAGGAGGTAGGAAACTAAGAAGAAAAATATCTGTGATCAATTCAAATAGGCCATACAAATCGGCTAAGACGAGAGGTATTGTAATTAGAAATCTTGTAGCTATTAAAACTGAGAATCAATCTGACAGTAACGTTTTTTCGTGCCCAAAAATGTTCCTAACTAACGCAAGGTCGATCAGAAACAAAGTTGACGAGCTTGAGGCTACTTTTAATAAATTTAAAATTGAGTTACCAGTGATTACAGAAACGTGGCTAGACGCTGAAACTGAGAATGTTGCACTTATACCTGGATATCAAAATTTTAATAAGATTAGATCCGGAAAAAAGGGTGGAGGCGTATCTATTTATTCTGCTAACAATTTAATTGTTAACTACACTGACCTTCATGATGAGTGCGAGCATGAATGTCTTTGGTGCTGTCTCTTATACACATCTAGATGTGTATAAGAGACAGGAATCAATCTGACAGTAACGTTTTTTCGTGCCCAAAAATGTTCCTAACTAACGCAAGGTCGATCAGAAACAAAGTTGACGAGCTTGAGGCTACTTTTAATAAATTTAAAATTGAGTTAGCAGTGATTACAGAAACGTGGCTAGACGCTGAAACTGAGAATGTTGCACTTATACCTGGATATCAAAATTTTAATAAAATTAGATCCGGAAAAAAGGGTGGAGGCGTATCTATTTATTCTGCTAACAATTTAATTGTTAACTACACTGACCTTCATGATGAGTGCGAGCATGAATGTCTTTGGTGCTGTCTCTTATACACATCTAGATGTGTATAAGAGACAGGAATCAATCTGACAGTAACGTTTTTTCGTGCCCAAAAATGTTCCTAACTAACGCAAGGTCGATCAGAAACAAAGTTGACGAGCTTGAGGCTACTTTTAATAAATTTAAAATTGAGTTAGCAGTGATTACAGAAACGTGGCTAGACGCTGAAACTGAGAATGTTGCAC